TAGCTCAACTTATGGTACTGAATTTGGGACTTCTGCATCATTAGTACTCATTGAAAGACTGGACATTCGACAAGGCAATGGAACAGGTCGATATGGAGATGATGTTTATGATCGCATTTGGTCACGTCACATTTCACCTTCTTGGGATCCAGTTAGTACTTCTTCGTCGATCACTACCTATGACAACGGATATAGAGTGCCATTGGAAGTAATCCGGACTGCAGCTACACCTCGAAATGCAAGTGAACCTTTAAATTTGTACTGGAACACAACTGACATGAATGCTCAGTTTTATGTTTTTATGTACTTTGCTGAAGTGGAGAAACTTGAGAAGAATCAGTCAAGAAAATTCAAAATATCATGGAATGGATCTCCATTGTTTGGACCATTCACTCCCCGTTACTTACAGGCAGACGTGATATCTAATTCAAGAGCTCTGGTGGGAAAGGATCACGAAATTTCTTTACACAAGACAGAGGACTCTTCCCTTCCGCCGATTCTGAATGCTGTTGAAGTTTTCCAAGTTATGCAGCTGGTTGAATCACCTACTTATGGTGAAGATGGTATGTCTTCCTTTGTTAAATCAACGAGAACATTCTTACAAGTATTGATATATGCTTATTTTCTCTGGAAAAGAAAAGCTTGTTGAAAAATATATAAGTCCCACCTCGGAATCCTGACAATTAAAAATAAAACATATAGTAGCGAACTGTGCGGATGATTAAGTTGGAAACAATGTTGGTGACCGCTGGTTGTTCTCTCTTAGATTTGACCAATTCTTAGCTTTATAGGTCCTGTTTGATCTGGTTTTGTTAATGACTGCAGCTGATGCCATAGCGAATGTCAAAACTACGTATCAAATAAAAAAAATCTGGGCTGGTGATCCTTGTGGACCTAGGAATTTCTCTTGGGAAGGACTAGAATGCAACTACAGCATTTCACTTCCTCGGATTATTTCCCTGTGAGTCCTTCTAAGGAACTAGTCTTCTTACAATTTCTTTGTCTTTTCAATCTAATTCTAAGCCGATTTGCCTTTGATTGTGATTAGAAACTTGAGTTCAAGCAATTTGAGTGGGATAATAGCTGCTTCCATTGCCAATCTCTCATCACTCGAGTCCTTGTAATTGTTCTTCACTTTTGCTTCCATGAAGACTCATCTTGCCGAATTTATCCACTTTACTATCTTGCAGAACCTACTAACTATAACGCTTTTCATCCCAGAGATTTGTCGAACAATAACCTAATCGGGCCAGTGCCTCAGTTCTTGGAAGAACTAAAGTCGCTCACTCTCTTGTAAGTGCAATCTCTACATGATCATAGACTCATTTGATACCAGAATTCCATATTATTAAGAATTGATCTGCAGGAATTTGAAAGGCAATCAATTGTCTGGTTCGGTTCCAAACGCTCTTCGCGAGAGATCAGAAGCTGGATTACTTGTACTGAGGTAAAAATCGCTTCTTGTTTATCTGGTTTAGAAACATGCCTTTGGTTTGAAAATAACAGAAATAAGAAGAATTTTTGTGTTCATTTCAGTGTGGATACCGAAAATCTCTGTGGCTCGGGTTCATGCAAAAAGAAGAAGAAAATTGTTGCTCCAATAGTTGCGTCGTTAGTATCAGCACTAGTAGTCGTTATAGTGCTGATACTAGTGTTGAAATTGAGAAGAAAAAAAGAATCAGGTACCTTTACAGATCTCAGTAGCTCCCCAAATTGTAACAGTAGTACTTTGAACAAAGAAGAACTTTCAAAACAGGTTCCCTAGATCGAATGAATATTTATACAGTGTGAACACATAATTTTTTGTGTATTTAAAGGTACAGAAGCAGAACCCTTTAACAGAACAGCTATAGCATCAAAGAAGTGCCAGTTTACTCATGAGGAGGTTTTAGATATCACTAAAAACTTAAAAACCTCGATCGGGAAAGGAGGATTTGGGACTGTGTACCATGGTTGCATGAAAGACGGAACCCAAGTTGCGGTAAAAATGCTTTCTGCATCATCAACCCAAGGACCTAGGGAGTTCCAAACAGAGGTTTGTCAGTTAGAATTTCTTGGAATGCAAGGTAAATGCCAAGCCTAGTCTCGTTTGATGCAGGTTGTGATGAGTTTGTTCTTGACTGCAGGCTGAGCTCCTGATGAGAATCCATCATAGAAACTTGGCCTCGTTTATTGGATACTGCGATGATGCGAACAACTTGGCACTTATATACGAGTACATGGCTAATGGCAACCTAAAAAACTCTCTCTCAGGTATAATCTTGTTATCAAGATAGAGAAATTTCGCCAGTTTATGTTAGTCCATCTTAAATCTAGCGAACACAACACATTATTGGTTGCAGATGCAGAAAGAAGTTCACAGATGACATGGGAAATAAGACTACGTATAGCAATCGATGCTGCACAAGGTTCGTGCTTCCTGTTATTTCAGTAAAATAGATGTGATCATGTTTACACAAATTATAGTTCTACTAACGGAATGCAAAATTTGGTTCGCAGGTCTCGAGTACTTGCATCACGGATGCAAGCCGCCCATTGTCCACAGAGATGTGAAGACAGCCAACATTCTCTTAAGCGAAAACTTGGAAGCTAAAATAGCGGATTTTGGTCTTTCCAAGGTTTTTGCTAGTGACATTGAGACTCAAGTGGTCAGCACAGTCATGGGAACAGCCGGATATCTTGATCCAGAGTATGTTTAGGTTTTCTCATTCTATTAGCATTATTATCATGCGAAAATACGATGTTAAAAAACGGAACAAACTCTTAATCAAAAATAAAACTGAAGGGGCACTAAACCGACAATAAGCTGCATATAAACTACGATGTTGTGATTAATGAATGTTAGTTTTTGTTTACAGATACCACAATTGCCAAAGGCTGAATGAAAAGAGTGATGTGTATAGTTTTGGGGTAGTTCTATTAGAGCTAATCACCGGCCAACCTGCAGTGATAAAAAGTGATGAAGTAATCCACATAGCAACGTGGGTAAGTTCTGAGCTCAAAAAAAGGGAACTTAAATGTATTGTAGATCAAAGGATGCAAGGAGAGTTCGATGAGCATTCGGTCTGGAAAGCGTTAGAGATAGCAATGGCGTGCACAACCTCTACTTCCCAACACAGAGTCGCAATGGATGTTGTATTGTCTGAGCTCAAATATTGCTTGGAAATGGAGTTGTCTAGGCATCGAGAAAGAACTCCAAGATCAACAGAAGAACTTCGCGCTGCGTTTGGGCCGTATAATCATAGTTCACCTGAAGTTCTCTCCGTGTATACAGATTCCACAAATGTTGATTCCATGACCGGACCGTTTCCTAGGTAACTGGTGACATTTTCGGCTAGTTGACGAAGAAGATATATACATACTACAATATCATAAAGTTCTTTTTCTTTCTTTGATCTTTTTGCATATTACTTTGGATTTCTTTATGCATATATTATACGTGTTTGGAAGTACTTTTAAAATAAAAAATAGAAGCACTTTATTAAAAACACTTAGGGTGTGTTTGTTTGAGCTCGCTAGCTTTCGTTGGCTTGGACTGGATTATGTAGTAATCTAGTCCCATGTTTGTTGACAGTCCGGGACTAAGTTTAATGAGATTAGAAGGGACTCGCGGAGACTAACTCCCTCGCTAGCAAACCTGTCGAGAACCATGGGATTAGCGGGGACTAACTCCCTCGCGTCTTCCGCTGCTTCTATGTTCACAAACGCCGAGAGCCATCATCATTCCCCTTTGCCAATTCCCCCTTCCCCTCTTCCTCTCTCCTCGGTTTCTTCTCTTTCTGCTCCGCCGAGATCTGAGCTTGGCTCGAACTTGACCGCGACGACGACAGTTGCTCCATCCTGATGGTACTGTAGTTCTGCTGCTGCGATGACGACTCAGTAGTAGTCGACTTCTCCTGCATAGAAGATATTCTAAGCACGCTTGGGAATCGCTGCAGGCCGGTTCCGCCGCTCCAAAGACTTGCGGCTCCGATTGAATCCACAGAATTTGAAAGCTCCCCCCAGTTGGAATCTTGCACCGAACAAAAACCAAAGAAACCAAGCTCGATTCTTCATTTTGCAGAATTTTTTTGGCAATTAATCAGAAAAAAAGAGGAAAGGGAAGGAGAGTGCGGGACGGAGAGAACGAGGGAGATAAAGTGGGAGAAAAGGATGGAGGCTTCCAGAGAGAGAGAGAGAGTATTATTAGAATAAAAAAGATAGAATTAATTAATATAATATTATTAGATATGAATTAAAAAATATAATATTGTAGTTTGTTATTATCATTCTTTTTAGTCCGACACTGCACCAAACGCTTCATTAAGTCAGTCCAGCTTAGTCTAGTCTAAGCCAGTCTAGCTTAGTCCCTAAAGCTAATCCAGTCCGAGATAGTCCGGTGCAACAAACGCACCCTTATGAGCATAAGTATTTTTTAAAGAAGCATTTCTAAATGGCTTGTAATTCATTTTGAGTTTTTTTATTTGGTATACAAGTTTTCACTTCAATTTTTTGTTCAATGGAGTAAATCAATCCAAATTATGTTACTAGATGTTGTATCTTATCTATTTTTCTTGGAGGTTATCATGCATGGTTTGAGGCTTTAAACTAAGTAGAGTGGTAGAATAAATTGGTATTGAATTTGTCATCAACGAGATTTGAATATAAGACCATGCAGTTACAAGTGAAAAAGAATATCATTAGATTAGTACTAAGTGACTCTAAAATACATTTTTTCAACCACTATACATATATTTTAGAGTGTACAAATTAACGCGTGTATAGCGTATAAAATAAGTGAAACCAAAATAGAATAATTAGTCAAATGCCTACTTGATACATAAGTGCTCAACAATTGATTCCATATTATTGGTTTAATCCAATGCTACGTACAACATGACAAACAAGACCTCAATCGTTTTACTTTTACGAGTGATTATTCTTAAAGTTCAAACGTTTTTCAATCATACAGAACATTTCAGTACAACTAGTAATGTTTGGGCCAGATTGATACAAAGCCCAAAACTAAAAACAAAAAAAAAATTAAAACCGAAGTTAGGGTTGTACTTCAACCCCCGCCGCACTACTTCCTCCGTCGTCTCTTTATCGCTAATAGCAAGCCGCAAGAGACTGTGAGCTCAGCAATGGCAGCAAAAGCAAGGAACCCCAGAAAGACCAGGAACCCAGATCTCGTCCGCGGGGTGGGTAAGTTCTCGAGGTCCAAAATGTACCACAAGCGTGGTCTTTGGGCTCTCAAGGCCAAAAACGGCGGCGTCTTCCCTCGCCACGATGCGAAGCCGGCAGCCGAGACCCAGCCTGAGAAGCCGCCCAAGTTCTACCCCGCCGACGATGTCAAGAAACCCCTCGCCAACAAACGCAAGCCCAGGCCCACCAAGCTCAGGTTCTCTTTTTCTCTACTTTCTCTCAGATTTTAATTATTTTTCAAATTCGAATCATTCGGTTTTTAATAATATTTATTTATAATTGTTGTCAAAATTAGAAATTAGAAAATGGGTGTTTGATGATTTAATTAATTAATTAATTTTTTTAATTTGGTTGGTTGGATGTAGGGCTAGTATTACATCAGGGACGGTGCTGATTGTATAAGCTGGAAGGTTTAGGGGAAAGAGAGTTGTTTTTCTTAAGGAGCTTTCATCTGGGCTACTTCTTGTTACTGGTGAGTTCCGATTTTTTTAAACAGAAATTATTGTTCCTGAATTTCGAATGAATGTTAAAAAGTTTTATGTTACTGGGAGGTTCCTTTGATCAGTTGAGAGACTATAGCTACAAAATTTTGACAAAATTTTAACAAAATTTTGTATAAATGGTCAATCCAACTTAACTTATTTTAACAAAATTTTGATGAAATTGATGAAAAAAGACTATAGCTACACATTTTGATAAGTTGAGGGATCAATAGTAATAGATTTTTAGTTAAGGAATCATTGCTACAATTTACTCAAAAGTTAATAATTTAAGTATTAAAATTTCTCACCACTTACATTTATGTGGTATACCATTGTTCCGACCGTAATAAAAATTTCTCACGAGAAAGAGGGGCGGAAAGAATTAACAAAATGTACCTGGCTAAAGGGTGGAAAAGTGTGTCTAGCAACTTTTTATAAGATTATGAAGGGAATGAAAGTTGAGAGAAAGGAAGCACTTTGAAGGGAGTGAGAAAAAGAAGGGCGCTCCACTAAAAGGGAACTGGGAAGGGTAATTTGAGATTAGAGGGTTTGGAAGATGTCTTTAGAAAATATGATGAATGTAAAAGAGATAGGACCTCACTTTTATCGTAAAAGGATAAAAAAAATAGATAATAATTCGACGAATGAGACTTGTTTAAAAGTGATAATTATCGGTGAGTTCTATGGAAAACTCAAATATTAACAGAAATAAAACAAAGTCAATGATATAAATATAAAATATAATATAAATAAAACAAAGTCAATGATAGAATTATATGATATAAAATTATTATATATTGGGATCAATTTAATCATAATCATCACGCAATCAGAGCCAATCAACAAATTGGACTGACTTTCGTAGTGTCCTCCGACAATGAAATTTGTAAGCCAAATGATATGTCACCAATAAAAAATAAACACATTAATCAACACTTAAATAACAATCTAATCATCAACATCCACATCATTTGGTTAACAAAATTTGGTTTAGAAATTTGATCTTCCTAACATTACCCTTAAAAAAAATCTAAGAATAAAACACATGGCTAATGCATCTGGCGACTCTCAGTCATCCCATGTTCAAAACTTGGTGGGTTAAATGGATGTGTTATCTCTTCTGCAGTGAATTAGTGTAGGATGAATACTAGTTTATATTGATTTTTTCCTCGACTTAATCATTTTGATCAAATACTTTGAGTTTTTATTCTATTTGGCATGCTCGCAACACTGTTCGTTTTCATGAGGAGGTTGTTTCCATCAATTATGTTGTAAGGGCGATTAAATTTCAACTCCTTGAAATTGATTCTCTCAATTCCGGCTATATGAAGAATTTTGTGAAAGAGCTTTGCATTCTTCATTCTATTGGTGTTTGTGGATGTCCTACTAAGGCTCCAAAAATTATTGAGTTATTGTGGCGCTCGCCTTCTCAATCTTGGATCAAAATAAATATTGATGGTGCTGCAAGAGGTTCCCCTAGTGTGGCTACATTTGGTGGTATCTTTTGGGATTTTACGGGTCATTCTCTTGGTTTTTTTGCGGGTTCAATAAGCTTGGCCTCTTCTTTGGATGCTGAATTACGCGCTGTTATTCATGTTGTATCTTTATTGGTATAAAGGTTGGCATTCCTTATGGATTGAACGTGACTCCTCACTGGTTGTTCATATCTTCTTTCATCATTTTCACCTTCTTTGACATTATCCCTTGGAGACTTTTGGTCAGTTAGCATAACTGTCGAGTTTTACTATCCTCCATGCAGGTTCAGATTTCTCATATTTTTAGAGAGGGTAATGAAGTTGCTGATTGTTTGGCCAATCATGGTGTTGATCACCCCGGTGTCCATTAGTGGGATTCATGCCCTCCTTGTGCTGCAGCTACTTATTTCTCACCTTTCTAACCTTCCTTGTTATAGGTTTTGCTGAAAGAGGTTTTGAATTGTTGTTATGAATTATTTAATGGTCTGGGTTTGGCCTCATATCCCCCTTGCCATATTGTATTTTTCTTGTTTATCAATAAATTATCCTTAAAGTCACTTCCATGATAGCAATCCTGGAGTGGGATGGACTTTGCGGCCAAATTTATTAAAAAAAAAAAAAAAAAAAGGTACTTTGGGTTGTGTCCCTGACTTGTACAGTTGTACCACACTAGCCCTAACAGGAACAATGTTTGAAATGCTTACTCTAGAAAATACGTACAATGGCTTGACCAAATAGCTCTTAGTTTGAACATTGCATGATCGAATGATTGATGCAGACTAAAGCATCTCCGTGAAATAAGGATTATGTATGTGCCGTGCAAGTTGTGCAGCATTAGGTTACAAAGCCACACTGTCTTATACGTTTTTCTGCATTTTTGGTCGGGAAATTGTCGCAGGTTTTAAATACCAGGTAGTCCTTGGGCTGCAATGAGACAAATAGAGATGAAGATCTCAATTAGTTTCCTCGTCTTACCGCTCTGTGCAAGAGTCGTTCATGGAGAGTGCCGAATAGGTTGCATTTTCTTTAACGAAAGCAAATGGTATTGCGTCCTTCAAATTTATATTTTTTATCTGCCTGTAAGTTATTTTTTTAGCTCAGATTCAAGCAAGTGCAAGAAGAACATTGTTGTTCCAATATTTGGATCATTACTATCAGCAGTGGCCCTCCTTCTAGTTATAGTGCTCATACTGGCATGGAAGATTATAAGACTAAGAAAACCAGGTACCGTTTTATACCATTGATACTTATTCGGTTAGAACGGATGCTGCTATTATGGTGTAGTGACATTCCAATCCAGTTAGTCTGAACTCATGTCTTTTTGTCTACTTAAGCTGCAGATGGAGAAAAACGTAACAAAACACCTTTAGCATCAAAGAAGTCTCAGTTTACTTATGACGAGGTTTTAGAAATCATCGAAGACTTTCAAATTGACATAGGGAAAGGAGGTTTTGGGATTGTGTACAATGGCTACTTGAAAGATGGCACTCAAGTTGCGGTTAAAATACTTTCTCCATTGTCATCTACAGAGGTTTGACGGTTAAAGTTTAATTCCTCGGATTGCATGTTAAATGCATTGTCTTGTTGGTTAGGTTGTCTCAAAGGGGAACCATAAAAAAAAAATAAAAAATAAAAAAAAAATCAAAAATCAAATATTTTGGCCCAAAACAGCTGTGAGGAATGTAATTTGAGGGTGGGAAAAAGGGGATTTTGGGTTTGCGGGTCCCCCCCGGGGGATAAGTTTTCAAGTGGGCCAAGGCCCCCAGCTTTTATGCGCCAGCACGTGACACAAGCCCACGCGGGCCTCACGCGAGTCAGCAACATAGGGTGGAGGAATTCCTTGCGGGCGAGCACATGGAAAGCACTGGTACCAGACCTAGATTGGCGCGCCATTAAAATCCAGCGACAAAAATCTACTCCGAAATCATAGGGATTTGAATATCTAGAGTATGAAATTTGATTCAACGGTTGTAATTATTATAGTTTTTAAAAGAGTCCTTTATTTGTAGTCGTTTGATTAAATTTTAATATCCTGAATCTCTGAATTCCTAAGCTTTGGTGGGAGAGATCCGAAGAGGATTTCTTTTTGAAATCTAGCTGACACTTCTCTTGGGTTTTGATCCAGTGTGGTGCACCCAGCTACTTCCATTTTTAAATCCAACGACTCAAATTCAATTTAATCAATTTTAACGGTAATAAAATAATTCAACAACTCAAAAACAGTCAAAATAATATGATTAATTAATCCCTTTCAGGTCCAACACCAAAATTCCTTCAAAACTCTTTAAAAATCCATCCATTTGTTTGCTAATCCATAAAAATTTCAATTTTCTCATATTTCGCTATCAAAATTTCTTCGTTTTTCTTCTTCAGAATTTGAATCTTTTTACATCAAAATTTTTGTAAAACTAAAACAAGATTGATTATACAACAACTAATTCCAAAATTATTAGCCAAAAAAAAAAAAAAAAAAAAAAAGAACAACGAAATACAAAGTTTAACAAATTATAAAGTTGAGGGTGGGAATTATAAATCTTTTACACGTTGGAGGAAAAAAAAAATTGACTACTCTCAAATGTATAAATGACTAGTTGAAAACACGAGGCTATTTTATGAGATTTTAACGCTTAAATTGGAGATGGTTTTAGAGATTGATGAGCTCCTTGTTGCTGCAGGTTGAGCTTTTGCCGAGAATTCATCATAGAAACTTAACCTCACTTCTTGGATATAGTGATGATAGCAACAACTTGGCACTTAAATACGGGTACATGCCTAACGGAAACTTAAAAGAATCTCTCTCCGGTATGTAGTTCCATATTTTATAAGCATTGTCATCCAGCAAAGGGTTTCAAAATATTGAAGGGTCATGTTAATGGCTATAGACGCAGATAGAAAGCTCACATATGACTTGGGAACTGAGACATCGGATAGCATTAGATATTGCGTTAGGTTGGTGCTTCGTGTTATTTTGATCGCCAATAGATTTGCGTAAGTTCATGTGCCTAATTCAACCCATGTATATTGTGAAATTTGGCTCACAGGGCTGCATTACTTGCATAAATAATGCAATCCACGTATTGTGCGCAGAGATGTAAACACTGCCAACATTCTCTTAAGCGAAAAATTGGATGCAAAAATAGCAAATTTCAGTCTGTCCATGGTTTTTCCCAATGATAATAAGATTCATGTTGTGGCATCGGTTATGGGTACAGTGGGGTATATTGATCCCGAATATGTTTGGATTTCATGTTCTTAGAATTTTGGTCATATAAAAAAAAAAACAAAACAAAGCCATGAGCGATTTATGATTACTTTTTTTTTCTTTTCTTTTTTTGACAAGAAACGATAGTGTAGTATTTCATTAATCAACACAAACAATTACAAGGGTGTCATTGGGTACATTGCTCCAGTAACCAATAAATTGATCTGTAATGAATTTGCACAAACAGATAAATAAGAGTAAACATACAATAGCCAAGCGCATAAGTGCTACCAATACAGATATGTCACAATAAACGATAGCCGCAATAGAGAAATACAAGCAGCCACAATAGTCATCGCTGAATAACGAGATCACATAAAGTCATCGCGTTAGAGCGAAATCACATCAAGTCAGATGAGACTACATCACACATCGCACAAAGGCGAAGACCAATCTAGCCAAAACAACAGCACCACCACGGTGCACGTAAGGCGAGTGGAACACAACTAGACTACACCGAGAAGGGATCTGCTGGTCAGCTCATCACAGTAGGGGACGAGGCACTTAGGTCCATGCCACCTACAGATTCACCGGACAGTGGGGGTACTGTCATCCACACATCGAAAACCATAAGAGCAGCTGCAACAGACAGCGGAGCCGCCAGGTTTCATAACGGAAGGTTGAATAAAAAATTGATGTTTATAGTTATGGGGTAGTTCTATTAGAGCTAATTACTGGCCAACTTGCAATCATAGAAAGTGATGATCTTGACCACATAGTGGAGTGGGTGAGTCCTGAGTTCCAGAATGGGGATTTAACAACTATTTTGGATCGAAGGATTCGAGGAGAGTTCGATGTGAATTCGGTCTGGAAAGCATTAGAGACAGCAATGGCATGCACAACTTTCACCTCCCAACATAAAGCCAGCATGGTTTTTGTGCTGTGCCAATTAACACAATGTTTGGAAATGGAGGTGTCTAGGCATCGAGAAAGAACTCCAGGCTAAAATGAAGAAACTCGTGTTACGATTTCACAATACCATAGTTCACCTAGAGTGATTTCCATATGTTCATATTCCACAAATGCAGGTTCCATGACAGCTCCATTTGCTCGGTAGCGATTTAGGCTTTAACTTTGCTGGCTCCTACACTATTGTTTGAAATTCTTTGTTTAGTGCGTTGTTAAGCTTTTTTATCCATTTAAGTTTTATGATTTGGTGCATAGTTTCTCTGTAATTAAATTTATTTTTCGTGAATTCAATCAGCAGAAGCGGGTAGATTCAACAAGTAATAAAAAGGCAAACGCTGCTACCTTCCAAAAAATCGGTGGCAGAAAATTAACAAATTACATCAGAAATTATTATTAGTTTCATGTCATTATTCCATCTCTAATAATACTTCCAACAAACCCTACTTCATGCATTCAAACTAATCATAACAATTATCCAAGTCCAAATCAATGACTTAAAACCCTATCATGTTGTTGACAAATCTTCCATCGTCGGATCACAAAGCTTATCACTCACATGTCAGGTAAACAGAAATCCAAAGGTGGAAACAAGGCCGGATTAGGATTTCATATATACTTCCCCTTTATCTTGAATTCCAATTCAGGTACCACAATTTCAAAGATGTCACGTCTGGAGCAGTTGGTACAGTTAGATCTTTGTTTAAAATAAATAATAAAGAAATTCCCAAAAGTCTACTATACTTCTTTGGTTCAGATGAGTTATGTGGTATAGTTGAACGTGCAATCACGAGAATCTAATATTGTGATACAGTTGAATGTGTGATAACAAAATCTAATACCTAAGAACATCTAAAAATTCTCATGCTCAAACATAAATGGTTTGGTACATAAGAAATTTTTAAGTACGGACAATCGTGGTATGTCACAGTTTAAAAAGGAAATACTCTCATGTAACCAAGTACCATGCTGCTCATGAACTTGCCCATGTTGCTTTAAAGGAGAATTTTGGTTGTTATCATTAATTCACGATGATATTTATTTGTAGAACTCACGTTTCAAACAGAACAATGTCACAAATTCAACCCAATGCTTTGCTATGATGTCTGAGCTTTTTAAGTCGAAATCTCTCTTTTTAGGGTATTATTTTCAGTAATTTTGTATTAAGTCTAAGTGTTAGAGTTGTGAGCTTATATATTATTCAATCAATAAATTTTGGAGGGGTTTAATGAAAAGCTCATTGCTACAACTTGGTTTTAATCGTAAGGACATTTTGGATATGAAATATCTATATTAGGTCAAGTTATTTTTTTATTTACTTTTATGTCATTATTTCATTCATCATGGCTGATTCTACAACGAAATTTACATTTTGTTTGTTACTTAAATTATTGTACATAATTTTGCATTGATTGCCAAACACAATGGTGTCACCGATGCCAAACACAAGGGGGATAGGGTCCAATAGCTATAGGATTCATTAGGACCTGCCCCATGAAAACAACTCCTCATCTCATTACAGCAATTACAAGGAAGGCAGTGTTGGAAAATTCTCCTCATCTCATTACAGTAATTACAAGGGAGGCAGTTAAATTAATTTTATTAATTTTATTTAAATACCACTGCGTATGCGAAATAATGTTGAAGATGAAGTGACAGGACCGGGTAGGGTTGAATAGTCATCAGCACCAAGTCCTGACAAAAATCCATAGAAGACCAAAAAATATTGACTAATCAAAATAATTTAATCCAATAAATGAGTCACCGCCTGAAAAGTGCTCAGACTCACCAAAGCCAAGTTCACAGGGGTAAAGTGGCATCAATTATAGGGGTCCTTTCATCTTGATATGTTTCTCCCATCTTCTTATCCACATCTTCTTTCCTTTTATCTTTTATATGAATAATTTCAGATAATTAATTTTTAGAGCATATTTGCTAATAAAATGGGTTTATATTTTTGTTTTTTTTTTCTTCACAAACGATATTACATCCATTAAGAGAAAATGTGTGAGTTTAACAATAATATGATTCAACTTTATTTTTTATGAGAATCGAACTTAATATCTCTCATTTACAAATAAAAAAGAATATCACTATATCATACTACTAAATAACATTATATTTTTTTTTTGTCTTTTCAATTTCAATCATCATTACTTCTCACACACCCCTTAATAATTTCTTTCCGTTGATCTTCTTCAATTCATCCAATCTGACGCCCGAAAATTAAAAAGATGTGTAAGAAGTAAAATAGGGTATGTGGATATCACATCCCTAATGAAAACCTATTTGCTACAACTTGGTTTTAATCGTAAGAACATTTTGGATATGAAATATCTATATTAGGTCAAGCCCTTTTCTTATTTACTTTTATGTCATTATTTCATTCATCATGGCTGATTCCGTAATGAAGTTTACATTTTGTTTGATACTTAAATTATTGTACGTAATTTTGCATTGATTGCCAAACACAATGGTGCCACCGATGCCAAACACAAGGGGGATGGGGTCCAATAGCTATAGGATTCATTAGGACTTGCCCCATGAAAACAACAACTCATCTCATTACAGCAATTACAAGGAAGGCAGTGTTGAAATTTTTTCCTCAATCTTAGAAGATGGAGGATCTGCAAATCCGAACAAATTGTAAACAAGATATTACTGAAGGTACACGCAGTGATCAACTTGTAAACCAAATGACATATGTAGAATTTGTATAGTTGTTCCGTGAATTCCAATTGTCTATAATTCCTTGGGGGTTTTTTTATCTGATGAGTCTCGTTAGTACTAAAGAGCGAATACGTATTTAATTTGAATCTCCTTATTGTACATACACTTTTGAATGTACCAATGAAGTTGTTATTATTTTTTTATAAATATCTTTAATTTACTTTGTTAAAGTTGGGTCTACACTATCATCTAAAGTTGTCGAGAGAGATTGCAGATAAGATGAATTTATATTTATGTGGTCTTGATCTGCTTTCACTTTTTTATTATGTTAGAACATCTTCAATAAAGAACCTAAACAAAGTCTTTATAATAGTACAATCTCTAAATATAAAGATAAAAAGTTTTTAAAGAGTCGAAATTAAAGTCTTTAAAATATTCCAATATTTTTTTTGTCAAAAAAATATTTCAATATATAAAAACTCACTAAATACTTCAAAAGAAAATCTCAAATGTGAAAATTGTATAGTGGGCCTCTGTTGATTTTGTGCAGAAAAGTGACCCACACCAGCTGGTTTTTTGTCTTTTACCTTGTTTCTTGATCCCACCCACGTGAAATTTTCATTTTGGTTTTTCACATAATTTTTTTTTAATTGTTGAAAAGCTGGGTAGAGATATTTTTTTAGCTTTTCCATACATGAATAATAATTATTCAATATTTTAGATTTTATATTAATCTGAAAATTACACTATAAGAACTTTTCATAAAAAACAATATTTTTTTTAAAAACCCGAATATTTCTTTAAATTCTTTAAATAAACTTTTAGAAATAGTGATAAAAGTTCCTAAATAAGGATCCGGAGAGCATTTTTGTCCACTTTATCTCAATTTAATGTAAATATATTGTTGTATGAAAATATTGTTCAAACTAAACCATCCAAGAGGTTGTCATTTAATATTATGATCTAACGGTATTTTTTGTACTTATAAATAATAGGTCTTAAGTTTGAATTTCATGAATGACGAGTTCGATACAAATTTATACTACACCTCAATCCAAAAAGTTTTGATTTAACTTTTAGCTATGTATATATATGGTTGTATAAAAATCAATCAAAGAAGTTTGGTATGACTTTTATAATGAAAACAAATGCAATTTTAGGTTGAACTAAATCAAACTATAATTAGTTTGGTTTGATTTCGTTGAATTTTGACGTATTTATAAACCGCTAAAACCAAGACCAATTTAAAAGCTTATGTGTAGTGTTGGAGACGAATTCCTAGCGTTCGATTGTAATAGCTACCACATTTTCTTGTTAGGTTTAGGTTTACCATAGTCAATGAAAAAGGTAGAAATATGAGTGTAAATTACTAGCCAATTCGATGTATAAGAGACAAGTTTCTAGCTCGATTGTGTAAAAGAAAACACATTTTATGTGAAAGTCTTATTTACACAATCATTTTTATTTCTGATATATTTTTATTAATTTTGTTTAATTATTCTCTTTCAATTCATTCAATAAAATTAAGAATGAAAAGTAAAGTTAAATATGGAAATACCACTGCGTATGCGAAATAATGTTGAAGATGAAGTGACAGGACCGGGTAGGGTTGAATAGTCATCAGTACCAAGTCCTGACAAAAATCCATAGAAGACCAATAAATATTGACTAATCAAAATAATTTAATCCAATAAATGAGTCACCGCGTGAAAAGTGCTCAGACTCACCAACACCAAACCAAGTTCACAGGTGTAAAGTGGCATCAATTATAGGGGTCCTTTCATCTTGATATGTTTCTCTCATCTTCTTATCCACATCTTCTTTCTTTTTATCTTTTATATGAATAATTTCAGATAATAAATTTTTAGAGCATCTTTGCTAATAAAATGGGTTTATATTTTTGTCTTTTTTTTTTCCTTCACAAAAGATATTACATCCATTAAGAGAAAATGTGTGAGTTTAACAATAATGTTGTTCAACTTTATCTTTGACGAGAATCGAACCTAATATCTCTTACTTATAAATAAAAAAGAATACCACTAAATCATACTATTAAATAAGATGATATTCTTTCTTGTCTTTTCAATTCAATTATCTTTACTTTATTAAAGTCGGCCTCCATTATTGACTGAAGTTGTTTAGAAAGAATCTTTGCTGATAAGAAGGGTTAATAATGCTCTTGAACATTATGTTGACGCTCACAGGTGTAAAGTGGCGTCAATTATAAGGGGTCCTTTCTTCTTATACCGCATTTTCTTGAATTATTGTTAAGCCTTTCATTCATCTTATTCGCTCTTCTTGTGTCCTTCCTTGGCTTTCTCCCAGTTCTCTGCTTTCTACTCTCTAATCTCCCTTTGTCGCGCGAGTATGGATGTGGTCGAGGGTCTCATCACTTATCCGGTGGAGGGAATACTGACGTCGGTCGCTTCACTTGCTGCTCAAGAAATCGGTCTTTTCCGAGGATTCAAAAAAGAGCTAACTGAGCTTCGTCAATCGTTACCTGCGATTCAACGGTTCTTAGGCTATATTTCCCACCGACCACGTCACGATGCCGTCTTGGAGGACTGGGTGAAAAGACTGAAAGACGTAGCTCATGATGCCGATGATGTCTTGGAGGACATCAACTATGAAGTTCTCCGGCGTAAAGCAGAACTGCAAAACCACATCCAGAAGAAGGTACTTAACTTCCTTTCGCTCTCCAATCCCATTTTATTTCGTCAAAAGATGGCACACAAGATTAAGAACATCAATGCGTCCCTGGCTACTCTCAAGAGTGAGACAGCTTTCGTTGAATTCGTTGCAAGCACAGTAGATCAAACCCCTCCTCCAATTATGAGGGACAGAGAAACCGTCTCAAGCTTCCGTCAGGATGAGAAGATCATTGGAAGGGAGAAGACTGTGTCGGATATCATTGCGACCTTGATCGAGTCCAAGAATCAGGAAAAGAACCTCTCAGTTAAGGCCATTGTGGGCATGGGAGGACTCGGAAAGACGACTTTGGCAAAATCAATATTCAACGATGGTGCTATTGGTGGACATTTCCAGGAAAAAATGTGGGTGTGTGTATCCGACTCTTTTGACGTTAATTCGATTCTAAGTAAGATGCTTGAATTGCTCCACCCAGAAATCACTGGACTTAAAGGTCGGGAAGCATTGCAGAATAACCTCAAAGAAAGGTTGCAAGGGAAGAGATATATGCTGATACTCGATGATGTTTGGAACGAAGCTGAGGATTTATGGAAGAGTTTTACGGATTGTTTGTGGAGACTCAATTCTGCTCCCGGAAGCATTACCATTGTTACTACCCGCAGTGAAAAGGTTGCATCAATCACGGGGACAATGCCGAAGTGTGATTTGGAGCTCCTGTCAAAGGAGGATTGCTGGTCCATATTAAAGGGTGAAGCATTACCAAATGGTAATGGTCGTTCTCTAGATTCAGATCAAGAGGGCATTGGAAGGGCGATAGCTGAAAAGTGTGCCGGTGTACCATTGGTGGCAAAGGTATGTCTATTGTCATATTCCCCCTTGCTATCTTTTATTTGGTTTTTTTATTTTAGTAACATAAATATATATAAACAAATGTTATGCATAAAGTCGTATAAACTAATGTTAAAGTATAAACTATACAAATAAGGGAGTAAATTTTCTTAAAGGAGAAAACATAGACTTGGCTTTGAATCCTCTATTTCTTTTAGCCACAGAGGTTTGAGGTCAATACGATTGAATAGCCAATTAACTACACAAACGGAAGAAACCCTATCAAACCCAACAGAATTGTTCTCCTATAATACAATTACCAAGAAAATGATGGTCACCCACCATTCGATCTTAATCTAATGGCTGGTGCTCATTTAACTTTTTTGCTGTATTTTTCCTGTACCGTTGGATTAAAGATCTAACGGTGAGCGACAATCATTTTCTTAGTCATTGAAGTCTAGGAAAACAGGATTCTCAAACCCAATAAGATTTAATCCAAGTGTCATTAAAGCCTAATTGTTTTAATCATAGAGAAAGATGATGCTAATTGATAACGATTATGACCCAACTTGTTTTTCATATCAAGTTTCTCTTTGCAATTTTATGCTAGGGAGTAGGGAAATCATATTTTGTAGACCGCATGATGTAGCGATTGATAGTTGGATTTTTTCTTTAATGATTTGAATAATGTGTCCAACCATCAACTAACACATCATGTGGTCTATGAATATGATTGAAGTAGTTGGTCTCTCTAGCATTACTCTGATATCCCATATTAAATTAATCAATCGAATGGGAAGAAAAAAACATCTTGCTTTTGTCAAATACGTTTACCTAAAATAGGTATTAAACGATTAATAAGGAGTTCAGAAATAAGTTTGTAATATGAGACATTAATTACACACAAAAATGGTTCGCCAGTCGAAGACATAGATTGGTGGCTTTCTCCATAAAGGATTAGTTTGCAGAATTAGGGTAATGTATGACTATGATTTTTACTATTCTACTCTTAACGGGAATTGGGCTAGGTCATGTTTGAGTATGATTTTGAACTCAAACAAATTCAAAACGTTATCCTCGTTCATATGAGTTGAACCTAAAACATTTTAGTTTGCTAATATAAGTACAATTAAATAATCAACAGAATCGCCATTATAAAAAACCTTAACTTGGTATATTTAATTTTGTCCGAACATTTTAAAAAGAAAATTGCATGAAAAACATAATAATGAGCTTTTAAAGGATCAATTTGTTTATAATATATATATATATATATATGTTTGTATATTTCAACGATTTAACCGTCTATTTTTATATCTTTTCTCAAATATCATCTCTACAAAAATCATCCAAATCCGAAGTCGTATAACCGTTTGATCAAATTTAGTGTTTCTTTAGTAAATGGCGAAAGAATAGTTCGCTCTATGCTCACCGCGCGGCTGTGTAAATTTAATGTTTCTTTATAGTTCGCTATAAAAAATGTGGATCAAAACGCTCCTTCAAAATACTACCTTCCTAGTGCATTGTTACAAATTGTTCAATTACTCGGTTATCATAAGTACTAAATTAACACTTATAGTTAAATGATCTAACCAAGTATCTTTGAGTTTAATTCCAAGACTAATTCTTACTTGGCTCGCAAGTCTCCTTGGTATTTCTCTTCTAACAAGCAAAAATATTGGAGAGCAATCTTGCAATTCTGATCGATACAAAACGAAGTTGAGTTTAATGCATCTTTGTTTTGCTCATCACTCTATTCAAAATTCAATGAAGCTATAATTTGGGATTGTTATTTTAAGAATCACCTTTTTATATTATAAAATATATAGAAACTAACAAACTTATGTATCAACAGGTTTTAGGAAGCCTAATGCGTTCTGAAAATAGTAGGCGTGAATGGTCGTCAATTCTAGAAAGTAAAATATGGGAATTACCAAATGAAGATCAGAAAATCATGTCGGTCTTGAAGTTGAGTTTTGATAATTTAACACCGTCATCATTGAAGCAATGTTTTGCATATTGCTCAATGTTTGTGAAAGATTTTGAAATTAAAAAAGATGACTTGGTCCAGCTCTGGATGGCTCAAGGATATCTCCATTCTTCTCCCAACATAAGTATGGAGGATATAGGTAATGAATATTTTAATATTCTATTGCAAAACTCTTTATTTCAAGATGCTAGAGAAGAGTACGGCATTACCATTTGCAAGATGCACGATCTGGTGCATGATCTTGCAAAAAAAGCATTCAAATCTGAAAGCTTGACGCGAGACTTGGATCAGATGGATGATGATGAAATTGAGATTCAACATGTTGCGCATATTTCTTCCACTACAATTGAAAGAATTCCAAAAGGGAGTGTTGAGAGATTGCGGTCGTTGTTTGTTGATTGCAGGGTCCCTAGTAACACCTTTCAAAGGTTCAAAGATTTACGGACGTTGAATTTATTCGGTGCCGGAATTGAGGAGTTGCCCATCTCAATTGGAAAGTTGAAACGCTTGAGGTATCTTAACATTTCCCGGACAGGAATAGAAGAACTCCCCAAATCTATTGGCAAGCTCTATAATCTTGAGACATTAAGAATGTCAGATATAGATATTAAAACGTTTCCTAGGGAAATGGAAAATTTGATCAACTTGAGACATGTTTATTTCTACGAGGATGTGGAAGTTCCATTTGGGATGACAAGATTGACTCATCTTCAAACGCTACCTTCTTTTAAATTGGATAGAGCAAGGCGTCATAGACTTGATGAGCTAGGTGGGTTAAATGAACTGAAAGGGGAACTAGTTATTGGATCATTGGAATTTGTGAGGGACAAGGAAGAAGCAATGAAATCAAAATTAGTGGAAAAGGCAAACATACGAAAATTGATATTAAAATGGGGGGAAGAAAGAAATGGCAATTTTCTTGACGATGATATTCTTGAAGGACTCCAACCGCACCCCAACTTAGAAAGCTTGACGATTGAGGAATTCAAGGGTACTAAATTTGCATCGTGGATGATGAGAAATTGTCGAGAAACCAATCTCCGTTATTTGAGAACTAGGAGCTGTCAGCAATTGTTGAGCTTGTGTTGTGGGTTAGAATATTGCCCCTCACTTGAGACGGTGGAAATTGAGGATTGCGGCAATCTAGAATCCTTCCAAATTTCACCATCCCAATCTCTTCAGGTGTTGAGGATAGAAGATTGCCCAAAGCTAAGATGCACTTCAATTCAGAGTCTGCCCTCACTCCGTGATTTGGTTATTAAGAGGTGCACTACTCTCGAGGGGGACTTGTCTTTAAACGGTTGCACATCCCTCCGTGAATTGACAATTGAGGAATGCGATGGATTCACAAGTATACTGAGTGGGCTCCATTCTTGTACTAGTCTTCGCAAACTGGATATTGGTATCTGTCGAAATTTGAGGACTTTGTCGGGTCATGGGCTACAAACCCCCGTCTCTCTTGAGTGTATGCTAATAAGCCATTGCCCTAATCTAGAGGCTATTCCCAGTTTAGACAACCTCACGTCCCTCACTAAGTTGATTATTTGGGGATGTCATGGATTAATAAGTCTACCGAGTGGGCTTGCATCCTGCACATCTCTTACCCATTTGACTGTCAGCAATTGCCCTAATCTAGAGGCTATTCCCAGAGGCTCCAATTTGATATCTCTGGCGGATCACAATGTCTCCAGCTTACAATCTCTTTCCTCTTTAGATTTATCTAATTGTGGGAAATTACAATATTTGCCCAAGGGGCTGCACTCTCTATCTCGTTTGGAAAAGATGGAGATCGGTCCATTCTACGAGGAGCTCGATTCTTTCCCGGATTTTCAGGTCCCATCGAAACTGAAAGAATTAACATTGAACGGGTGGCCTAAGCTCAAGTCTCTGCCTCAGCAAATTCAACACTCTGCTTCTCTAACATATTTGTCCATTTATGGTTTCGATGGTCTGGAGGCTCTTCCAGAGTGGTTGGGCAACCTCACATCTCTTGCTGAGTTGACAATTCGTGATTGTGGGAACCTGATGTATTTGCCCAAGGGGCTGCACTCTCTATCTCGTTTGGAAAAGATGGAGATCGGTCCATTCTACGAGGAGCTCGATTCTTTCCCGGATTTTCAGGTCCCATCGAAACTGAAAGAATTAACATTGCACGGGTGGCCTAAGCTCAAGTCTCTGCCTCAGCAAATTCAACACTCTGCTTCTCTAACTATGTTGGAAATTTGGAAATTCGATGGTCTGGAGGCTCTTCCAGAGTGGTTGGGCAACCTCACTTCTCTTACTAAGTTGGAAATTTGGAAATGTAAGAACCTGATGTATCTGCCTACGGTCGAAGCTATGCAACGCCTAACCAAATTACATAAGCTAGAGATCCGACGGTGTCCCCAACTGGGAGAAAGATGCGCCAAGGACAGCGGCCCAGAATGGCCAAAGATTTCTCACATTCCAGATAAGAGGTAATTTTTATTTTTGGAGCCCTTATTTTATCTCCAATCAATTATGCATGTATATTTTGTTCAAAATTCTTCATTCACTCTCGTTTTCTGCAGTGTTTGGTGATGATTCAAAAGGCTCTTACCAGAGTGATGACGGAACCTGTCATGAATCGACCATCTATCTATTCACCGTTGTGGGAATCTCAAGTATCTATCGGCACTGGGGAAGCCAATCCAAATTTTACTGTTGCGTAAAATTTCTGGCATTTCCCAGAGTCAAGTGTAGGTTTCTTTCCCGAAACAGCAATTCATGATTTGTTCTCTTCTCTTGTCTTTTAGCCTCGTGGAAGAACATTAATTTTTTTTGCAACTGTTTACGAGTCTGCGGTTATTCTGTATATGTTATAATGTTCAAATATGTTCTAAGGCATGTTGCGCATGGTTGTTACTTGTTATGGTGCAGATATACTTTTGTACAAGGTTGTGTTTCTTCTCACTGTGTGCACGTCCTCTCAACTTACACAGTTTTATTAGACCAATTTTATGGAAGGTAATCTGTTTAGTCAATATGTAACTTCTTTGTTCAAAGCTTTCATCCTTAAATAAAACCATGTCAAGTTATCTAGAATACATTAATCACAGATAAATTGGATTTGTATTTCAGCTCACTTAAGAAGGGATTCCAGTAAGAGAATTGTAGGAAAGGACAAATAGCTGATTTCAGTCTGTCCATGGTTTTTTTTCCAGTGATAATGAGACTTGTGTGGTGAATTGGTCATGGGCAGAGCGGGTTTTCTTGATCGAGAGTATGTTCAAATTTCTGTGTGTCTATTAGATTTTTTATCATGTTATAAACACAAATGTATGAACAGTGAGTGGTTTATTTGTGATTACATTTTTTGGTCTGCAGGTACTATAGTTATCAAGGGTTGAATGAAAAAATTGAATGAAAAAATTGCATTAAGAGAGGAGGCAATCCCAGCACAAGGAAAACTTGGACATGAAAATAGCAGATTTCAGTATGTCCATGGTTTTTACCAGTGATAATGGGATTCGTGTGGTGACATCAGTCATGGGCACAGCGGGTTATCTTGATCCAGAGTATGTTCAAATTTCCTTGTTCTTTTAGATTTTTTATCATGTTATGAATATAAATGTAAGAACAGTTAGTGGTTTATGATTACGTTTTTTGGTCTGCAGCATGGGTTTTGTGCTGTGCCATGTCAACTAACACAACCTTTGGAAATGGAGGTGCCTAGGCATCCAGAAAGAACTCTAGGCTCAAATGAATAAACTCGTGTTACGATTTCACCATACCATAGTTCACCTAGAGTGATTTCCAGATGTTCAGATTCCACAAATGCAGGTTCCATGACTGCACCATGCTAGGTAGCTACAAACTCTCATTCATCCCATGTTCAAAACTTGGTGGGTTAAAAATGGGGGTGGGTTAAAAATGGGTGTGGGATCTGTAGTGCAGTGAATCAGTGTAAGCTACATGCTAGTATGTATCTATTTTGTCCTCAACTTAATCACTTTTGTCCAATACTTGGGGTTGTGTCACAGCACATAACCCTGTTAGAAATGCTTTGACTAGAAAATACGTTGGCTTGACCAAATTGCTCTAGTATGAACATTGCATTATCCATTGATTGACGTACACTAAGCATCCCCATGTAATAAGGATCATTGTGCAGCATGAGGTTACAAATCCACACTCATATACGTTTTTCTGTTTTTTTGGTCGGGACATTGTCACGCGTTTTAAATACCTGGTAGTTCATAGGCTGCAATGAGACAGAGAGATGATCTCAACTGGTTTCCTCGTCCTACTGCTCTGTGCAAGTTTTGTTCATGGAGAGTGCCCAATAGGTTAGCATTTCCTTTAACGAAAGCGAATGGCATTGCATCCTTCAGATTTATATTTTCTATCTGCTGATAAGTAATTTTGGATTAGATTCAAGCAAGCTCAAGAAGAATATTGTTGTTCCAATACTTGGATCATTACCATCAACAATGGCACTGGATGATTCAGAAGGGTCTTACCAGAGTGATGACGGAACCTTTCATGTGTCGACGATCGATCTACTCACTGTTGTGGGAACCTGAAGTATCTGTCGACAGTAGGAAAGCCAGTCCAAATTTTACTGTTGTGTTCTAAATTAAAAGAAGCAATCTGCTCGACTGGCCCAAGTTTTCTCGCATTTCTGACAGTCAAGTGTAGGTTTCTTTCCCGAAACAGTAATTCGTGATTGGTTCTGTTCTCTTGTCTTAGTTGCATTCGAATATGTTCTAAGACATGTTCCACATGGTGTTATGGTGCAGATACATTTTTATGAGACCAATTTTGTGTAAGGTAATCTGTTTAGTCAATGTGCACCTTCTTTCTTCAATCTTTCATCCTTGAATAAAATCATGTCTGAGTTATCTAGAATACGGTAATCACAGATAAATTGGATTTGTATTTCAGCTACACTTAAGAAGGGAATCCAATAGGAGAATTGCATTAAGAGAGGAGAGCAAGCATAGTACAACGAAAACTTGGACTTGAAAATAGCAGGTTTCGGTCTATCCGTGGTTTTTTCCAGTGATAATGGGACTTGTGTAGTGACATCGGTCATGGGCAGAGCGGGTTATCTTGATCACGAGTATGTTCAAATTTCCGTGTTCTATTAGATTTTTTATCATGTTATAAATACAAATGTATGAACAGTGAGTGGTTTATTTATGATTACTTTTTATTGTCTGCAGGTACTATAATTATCAAAGGTTGAATTGTAGAGTTTTACTGGCCAACCTGCAAGGCTGCAATCATAGAAAGTGATGATCTTGTCCACATCGTGGAGTGGGTGAATCCTGAGTTCCAGAATGGTGATTTAACAACTAATTTGGATCGAAGGATTCAAGGAGAGTTCGATGTGAATTCGGTCGGGAAATCAATAAAGACACCAATGGCATGCACAACTTCCACCTCCCAACTTAGAGCCACCATGGTTGGTTTTGTGCTGTGCCAACTAACAAAATGTATGGAATGGAGGTGTCTAAGCATCGAGAAAGAACTCCAGGCTCAAATGAAGAAACTCTTGTTATGATCTCACCATACCAGAGTTCACCTAGAGTGATTTCCAGATGTTCAGATTCCACAAATGCAGTTTCCATGACAGCAGCATGCTAGGTAGCTACAAACTCTCTCATTCATCCCATGTTCAAAACTTGGTGGGTTAAAAATGGGGTTGGGATGTGTTGTGCAGTGAATCAGTGTAGGCTAAATACAAGTATGCATCTATATTGTCATCGACTTAATCACTTTTGTTTAATACTTCAGGTTGTCTACCTGACTTGTATCACACCACATAACCCTAATAGGAACAATGTTTTACATGCTTTGACTAAAAAATACGTTGGCTTGACCAAATTGCTCTCTTAGTATGAACATTGCATGATCCATTGATTGATGTAGACTAAGCATCCCCATGTAATAAGGATCATGTATGTACTCTGCAAGTTGTGCAGCATGAGGTTACAAATCCACACTGTCATACGTTTTTCTGTTTTTTTGGTCAGGACATTGTCACACATTTTAAATACCAGGTAGTTCACGGGCAGCAATGAGACAGTGAGATGAAGATCTCAACTGGTTTCCTCGTCCTACTGCTCTGTGCAAGTTTCGTTCATGGAGAGTGCTGAATAGGTTAGCATTCTTTAACGAAAGCGAATGGTATTGCGTCCTTTAGATTTATATTTTCTATCTGCTGATAAGTTCTTTTTAGCTCAGATTCAAGCAAGTGCAAGAAGAACATTGTTGTTCCAATACTTGGATCATTACTTTCAACAATGGCCCTCCTTCAAGTTATAGTGCTCTTACTGGTCTGGAAGCTGAGAAGAATAAGAAAACCAGGTACCATTTTATACCCTTGATACTTATTTAGTTAGAAACGGCGCTGCTACTATGGTGTAGTGGTATTCCTATCCAGTTAGTCTGAACTCATAACTTTTTGTACTTAAGCTGCAGATGGAGAAAAACATAACAAAACACCTGTAGCACACCTGTAGCATCAATGAAATGCCAGTGTACTTGTGACGAGGTTTTAGAAATCACCGAAAACTTTCAAACTGAAATTGGGAAAGGAGGATTTGGGATTGTATACCATGGCTACTTGGAAGATGGCACTCAAGTTGCGGTTAAAATACTTTCTCCATCGTCAACTGAAGGAGCTAGGGAGTTCCAAACAGAGTTTTGACAGTTAGGATTTTAATTCCTTGGAATTGCAAGTGCCTTGTCTCGTTGGTTAGAGATTGATGGGTTCCTTGTCGCTGCAGGTTGAGCTCCTGATGAGAATCCATCATAGAAACTTGGCCTCATTTATTGGATACTGTGATGAAACCGACTACTTGGTACTTATATTATATACGAGTACATGCCTAAAGGAAACCTAAAAGAATCTCTCTCAGGTATGTAGTTCTATATTTTATAAGCATTGTCCTCCATCAGAGGGTTTCAAAATATTGGAGTGTCACGTCAATGGCTGCAAATGCAGATAGAAGCTCACATCTGACTTGGGAAATGAGACTTCGGATAACACTAGATATTGCGTTAGGTTAGTGCTTCGTGTTATTTCATACGCTAATGTATCTGCACAAGTTCATATGCCTAATTCAACTTATGTATATTGTGAAATTTGGCTCACAGGACCGTTTACTTGCATAAAGGTGCAATCCACGTATTGTGCGTAGAGATGTAAATACTGCCAACATTCTCTTGAGTGAAAACTTGGACGCAAAAATAGCAGATTTCGGTCTGTCCATGGCTTTTCCCAGTGACAGTGAGACTCGCGGTGACATCAGCCATGAGTACAGCGGGGTATCTTGATCTTGAGTATGTTCAGATTTCGTGTTCTTAGAATTTTGATTTAAAAAAAACAAACAAATCTATGAGCAGTGAGTGATCTATGATTACTTTATTTGGTCTGCAGGTACTATAATTATCAAAGGTTGAATGAAAAAAATTGATGTTTAGAGTTTTACTGGCCAACCTGCAATCATAGAAAATGATGATCTTCTCTACATAGTGGAGTTGGTGAATCCTGATTCCTGAGTTCCAGAACGGGGATTTGAGATCGAAGGATTTGAGGAGAGTTTGACGTGAATTCGTTCTGGAAACCATTAGAGACAGCAATTGCATGCACGACTTCCACCTCTCAGCAGAGACTTTTGTGCTGTGCGTTAACAGAGTGTTTGGAAATGGAGGTGTACATCTAGGCATCGAGAAAGAGCTCCATGCTCAAATGAAGAAGCTCGTGTTACGAGTTCACCATACCAGAGTTCATCTAGAGTAATTTCCAGATGTTCATATTCCACAAATGCAGGTTCCATGTAAGCATCCTATTTCTGCTGTTGCAGCCAAAAGAAGGGGAGGCAGTTGTCATTTTGGTCATCAACTTTCAAGATAATAGTGACCAAAGACTTAATACCAATCATCTTTGTCACTACTCTTGAATTATCATTCACATTCGTCATCCGTCAATAATGTTCGAACTTTTGACTATCTATACTTTGTGGTATTTATCTATCGTAAACTCATCCAACGGCTATGATTCTCAAATAAAGAATCATATTTTGTTAATACATATTATTCCTGATGTGGGGTTTTCTTCAATCGATGTAATGGAACAATATCGACACTATTAACAACATACAGAGGGAGAGGCATAGCCAATTAGCCATTGTTAATTTGTCAAATTGACGATAAAATTCTAGAAATTCTTTCGTCTGAAACATGGAGGTGTTGGAAGAGGGGAGTGGAGTCATTATGTAGAGTAGGTAAGCTTTAATGTGTCTAGGACCGCATGGACATGTGATTCGGATGCCGGATTCCAAACGCTAGCTAGAGGAGGATGAGGAAGAGAGAAACTAGGACAACAAGTTAAAGCAAACAGTTGAAAATTTGACAGATGGATAATAAAGAGGAATTTGGATCCCCTCCTGACATTAGTGTCCAGAGCTTAAAGATCAGAAAATTTGGACCCTTTGTGTGAAATAGACATTGAAGTCTTTAGATTATGTAAAGTGAGGCAGCGTATGAGTTAATTAGTACTATCGAATTCGATTTAAGTGGTCCAAATTACCTGTTGGTTGAGCTTCGAACCATAAAATCCATATCTGTCCATAAAAGAGGTTTAGAAAGCTTGACTTTGTATGACTGACGCTATATTTATTTATTTTATTTTATTAAAAGAAAATTAATGAAAAGTTTAAAAAAAAAAAAAAAAAAAAACTTTAGTCGTTCAGAAAAAAAATTTAGTTTTAATGAAAAATAACAAATAAAGATGTAGTGAATAGTATAAGGGAAAGGTAAAAAAGTGATTTTTCGTTAAAAGTGAACAGTACCGGGAGTATTTCGTTAAAACTCTTTTTTTTTAATGAGAAGGAGAGAATGGTCAATGTTGGTGTTTGAGGAAGCACGCAGGTTTCATGCATTTGTAATTAAAACACCAAATAGTAGCCATTTGGTCAAATTGACATGTAGACATAACGAAATTAAAATTGTTTTCCTTTTATATACGAGAATATTTTCTAATAGAAACTCGACATTCAACATATAACAATTAAGTAACAAACACATTTTTTTTTCAACAAAAAATGTTATCAAATTTACCATTTATGTGAGTCGAATATGATGTCTCTCATTTGAAAATGATTTCAAAAGCAGGCTAAATTGCACAAGTTTCATGCATTTGTTGTCTCACTGATATAATAACCGATAACGGATTGCCAATGGCATAAAACATTACTCACTACTTGACTTCTCACACATAAGAGTCATTCTCTCTTACATATTATAATATGGCACATACAGATAAAATAACTCATTAAAATACCAAATGTAATATCTAACGACATACATAAAAGTTGAGAGGGTTTTAATATGAAAATATGATTGGCAATGGCATGAAACTGAACATGATATGAATTAGTTGGCCTTCCAGCCTTGAACAATATCCAACTCATTTGGCTCTACCCTATGAAAAATCTCCTCCCTCCCGGTCCAATTCTTCACTCTCTCAAAATTTCAATGCCATCAATCAAACTTTTATAGCCTATCACATTGATGGGAAAATAGCCTCTTGAGGAGCAAATAGTATGTTTCATTTCAGTGATGCATAAGGTGTTCAATTTCCCATCTGATCGAAAGTTCCAAACTATTCATGGTTAAAAAAAAAAAAAGAGAGTCGAACATTGGCCGCAAAATGAGCTTATAACTGTAGTAGTTAAGAGCATGCATTCAGTAGACAACTGGTGCTTGTGTTAGATTTTCTCTTCTCACAAATAGGCACACAATTATTGATCAATACAACTAGTAATTAACTGCAAATTAGACCAATTTTTGAATCCGGATTTGCAGCAATCTAAAGGCAAATAGGTGGTTACCACCATTCATGTCATGCATGTGACCCTGCCCTTTGTGTTAAGATCGTCTTCGGACTCTTGTGCTCAAAGCTCAGAGATCCGGATTGTTCAAAAGAGAGATTCGGAACCTTGATTTGTGTGAGATGAGCCAGTAAAATGAGCTAATGAGGGCCATAAAATTTAAAATGACTAGTTTCGATCTTCGAGTCCGTCGACTCCAAACATAGAAATTCAGACAGGATCTCGGTTTCTTTGATCACATTGTAAGAATATGAGTATGAGATAGAGAAGTTTTGGGACCAGCTATATGTATTCAGTTTGATAGAAAAGTCTTGTTAATAAGAGGAATGTTGATCCTTGACAAAGAAGGATTTTGTATAGCATTGAGATCAGTTCTTATGGAACAAAGAAACAAGTATTTGTTTCCTATAAGGATTTTAATAGGGAATCCTATCTGTTATGGAAAAGACTACATGTATATATATAGTGGTCTCTCTTCTCATAGAACACACGCTCATATTGGGACTTAAACCTATTTGTAAGTCGAGTTCTTGATCATCTGAGAGAGAACAGAAGGTTCACTGAAAAGCTTGGTGTCATGGCTTCAAGTTCTGGAACTGCTGCTGGTATGCTTTTCTTCTTGGTACTCTCATACATGAATTCTAGTTAATTCTTTTCAGGTTGTAGTTCATGTTTTAGTCTTGTTTAGTAATTCCCTGCTAGCACACATGTCATCAATATTTCTAGTCATAACTTGAAATAATTTCTTGAATTTTAGTCCATTCTGTCACCATCGTACTCATGCTTTCAGCATAATAAACTAAGCTATGTAAATTATAAATAATCAGTTTCTAAAACACATCAGACTGGAAATATATTAATTGGTACTGCTGAATCCAAAAGTTTGGCTTTCGAACCCATCGGCGCACGATAGCGACTGGCAACTACTAACTCGATTTCATTAGTGACTTGGTTTGACGGTAACCTCAATTTGCTGGGATATCAGACTACATAATTACTCAATTTCTTCCTCTTCTTTCTCCGATGGTCTTTGACAATCACGCACACCAACAATATTATTTTATTTATATATTCACTTTGTCTTTGGTTAAAAATGGACCCCATGTCTAAATTTTATTTGATAATGGAGATTTCAGTGGACATAAACTGATATTGACAACAAGCAAATTGAAATGATTTTCGTGCTTTTTATTTTATTTTTAATATTCTTTATTTTTAACATTTTTAATAAAACAGGATTGAGAAGCAAAAATAAAATAAATTATCGTAAAAAAATTAATTGTCAAGACGTACTTCATTTTTAGAGTATTTACAAAACAAGAACCGTCAAGATAAACGTAAGTATGCATATAAGAAAACTAATAATGACATTTTGTAAATAGTAAAAATGAGTTTGACGTATGGATGAGAGCGATGGATCATAATCCTTCTCTTGTCGGCAATATTTTCAAATAATTAAATTCGATGGAAGATGGAATTTATAACTCAAGTATACACACCAACAACATTATTTTATTTATATATTCACTTTGCCTTTGGTTAAAAATGGTCCCCATGTCAAAATTTTCTTTGATAATGTAGATTTCAGTGGACTTAAACTGATATTGACAACGAGTAAATTAAAATGATTTTCGTGCTCTCTTATCTTTAATATTCTTTCTTTTTTTACATTTTTAATAAAATAGAATCGAGAAGTAAAAATGAAATAAATTACCATAAAAAAATTAATTATCAAGGTGTACTTCATGTTTATAGTATTTACAAAGCAAAAATGACCAGGAGGAATGTACGCATGCATATGCATAAACTAATAATGACACTTTGTAAATAGTAAATATAAATTTGACGCATGAATGTGAGCGATTGATCATAGTACTTCTCTTGTCGGCAATATTTTTAAATGATTAAATTCGATTGAAAATGGAATTTACAACTCAAGTTACACAATTTCTTTCTTCCAATGCTATAAGCCAAACATGTCAATTTACATATGGCAGGCCAAACATACCTGATTTTCTTTAATTCCTCGATAGGTTCATATATATTTTTCTGTGGTCCTATATTATTAATAATGTTATGTGCTACACGGGTGATTTTTTTAATACTAAATGTGGTATTTTTTTTTATATTTTTATTTGTACCCTAAATTGGATATTCTTTGAGAATAATCTGGCGGGTCTGTGTGTGGCATAGATGGTAGATTGTCTGCCCTTCTGTTTGGGTACCCTTCTCATCTCCTTTTATCTTGAACAATCACAGTTAAGCCATGTCAACATTTTATATTGATTTTTTAATAGAAATAATAAGATAAAAAATAATAAAAATATAAAATATTGATATGACTTAATCGACAAATAAAAGAAAATAAGAAGAGCATCCAAACTGAAAGGCAGACAATCTACCTCTGTGTGGCATATGCCTAGATAATTGAGAGAAATTCAGGACCGTAGGTTCCAAAACTTGCCTTCCCAAGAGGTTAGCAAAGGCGACATTGAACAAAATTGATGTTTGGCGCCACAAAGCATACACGTGGCAAGCATGTAGATGCATGGTGACACTCTCATGTGATGCGGCCTATAGGGTATGACTCATGAATTTGCATCTTTTCCCAAGTCTACGAACCAAGAAATTTGAGTACTTAATTTGTACGCAAGAGAAATTGAAGCCTTTGATTTGTATAAGTTTAGCAGCAGAATAAGCTACTAATTCGAATAGTTCAAGTCTAATTCTTAAACTCCGTGCCGCTAGGTTCAACAAGTAGGGATTTTAAGAATTCGTAAATCGTGTCTGTTTATCATACATTATGCAGTTAGAAATCATTTTAAATATTTTTATTTAAAATAAACATAAAAAGTATTAATAAAAACTAACCGTACGATATATAATAAACAGACATAATTTACGAATCTCCGAAACCTTCATCAAAATATTCCGGGGAGGACCCTGTTGGCAATAAGTATCGCTGTCCGTGACACAAGGAAGAAGAAAATGGCACTGGAGATGGAACTTGAATCTCCTCTTATTTGTTTGTTGGCAAACATAAATTGTTTCTTTGTGTTATCTCTGACATTTTATTTTTTTATATAATTTTATTGTTAATATTATAAAATATTATGTAAAAAAATACTGTAACAAATAAATTAAATAGTCTCACTTTAAAAGAAATTTTTTTATAAAAAGGTTAAACTTAAATATAACTATGTAATTAAGACAACAATCACATCAAATAAAATATGCATCAAGTGCGATGAAACCAAAATACATACCACACATTTTTTTCTGCATGTCATCAGTTTGAACGTATCAGAAAAGCTCTTACACTAAATAACTTTATAGATGACGTGATCAAAGTGTCTTTATACAAGATTTTTTTCGTTAGGAGGTGTTCTAATGAAATCAGAGTGGGTTATATCTGTTATCAGCTGCATATATTGCAGTTAACAGCTGAAAGTTGTTTTTGGTAAATTCAAATCCAAAGCGGGTAGTTTCAAGAAGGGAAAAGGATCCTCGCAGGATCATTTTCTTGGGAATCCTAAGAATCATGTGATTATGATCGTTCATTATACATTTTGCGATCAAAAATCATTTTAAAATTTAAAATTAAATATAAATAGTACCTAATAAAAATTAACCTTATAATATATGATGAACGATTACGATCACATAATTCTTAATATCTTCAAGAAAATGAACCGACGAGAATCCTTACACTTCAAGAAGTAATAAAAAGCCAAAAGCAGCTTCCTCCACCAGCCAGCCTTCCAAAAAGTCAGTGAAATACTCAGAAAATTAACAAATTGCACCAGAAATTATTATTAGTCTCCTGTCATTGTACCATCTCCAATAATATACTTCCAACAAACCCTACTCCATACGTTCAAAATCAAATCATAAGTAATTATCCAGGTCCAAATCAAAGACTTAAAACCCATCGTATTATTGACGAATCTTTCACCGTCGGATCAGAAAACTCTAATACTCACAAGTCTTGTAAACAGAAATCCAACGGTGGAAACACGCCAAGACTACATAAATGTCAAGAGCACAAATTAAGACCACTGCGTGTTGGAAGGGCTAACTCCAAGACTAAACAATATAGTATAGTAAAAAGTTAAAACCAATAAACCAAGGGATGAGGAACCTCTCCGGATCCTCTTTACGAGGATCCTAGGTATTCATATATTCTAACTGTTCATTGTATATTATACGATTAGTTTTCGTTAGATATTATTTATGTTTAATTTTAAATAATAAAATTTAAATAATTTTTTACCGCATAATATTCGATGAATAGTTAAGATGTCAGGATCTCTAAGATTTTCAATCCCAAAGGAAGAAGGAGAAAATAGCTTTGTTCTTTGTCAGCGATTATATTGATTTCCCCTTAAGTCAATACGATTATTTTCTTTGCCAGAGATTTCCTTTCCCATTGATTTCCAATTCTATGTCCCACAATTTCAAAGACGTCGAGTATGGAGACTGGAATTTCGTAGACTCTCTCTTTATTTTTTCTCAACAAAAATTCTTGCGTGCTCCAAAAGATCTGGTACAGTTAGATCTTTGTTTGAAAATTCTAAAAAAATTTATTGACATCCTAAATTTTTTAATTATGCACTCAAAATTTCTAACTTAAAAAGTAAAAACTCTTACGCATGTTTCCAAATTTTCTAACTTAAAAAATTAAATACTCTTACGAGAAGTATGAAATTAAAATTTTAAAGTGCATATCATAATTCTTACCGTAACGTTTTCTACTATACTTTTTTGGCTCAGTTGAGTTCTATGGTGGAGTAGAATGTGCTATTTAAAGGATCTAATATTGTAGTACACTTGAATGTGATAAAACTTTTAGGATGTTAGAAATTTATATAGAGTTAATGGTGTATATTAGAAATTTCCATACTCAAACGTAAATTAGCTGGCACAAGAGAAATTGAAAAAATTCTTATAAGTACCAACAGTCGTGACATGTCACAATTCAAACAAGTGATTCACTTTGTAAATAAACTGGCACGAGAAATTGAAAAAATTCTTGGAAGTACCGACAATCGTGACATGTCAACGATTCAAACAAAGTGATTCACTTTTTTGAACACATGCCCAAGTAATATGCATTGATCGCAAGCGAGGATTAATAGATCAATGCATGTAGCTTTGGATTTGGGGGGAAGCGTGAGGCGGCATGGCTGCCCATAATCCAAAGACTTTCTCCGAAGTTCCCAACAAGGGGGTCCTTTTTACCAACTTCCATTTAAACCCAATCTTTCCTGCAGAAGTGATGTAGTTCCCAAACTACCATTACCATACTGTAAAAATTACATACAACATCCAACTGAGATTTTGCTGACACAAAAAATTCAGAAATCCAACCACAGATGAACGAAGAGCACAACACAGTAGAACTTGATAAAATGATAATTTACATTAATAATTGCATTAGCACAAAAGAGAGCATTACATTCCTCAGAAGAAAGAGGCATAGTTTTTACAATGATTTGATAAGAGATGAGTAAGTGGGGATGGTAGTAATTATCCTTAAAACACCATAATTAACAACAGCAAATGAGGGATATGATGATCTTCCGCTGTCCACTTCTTCAACTACACAACAACAAAAGACCAATTCTTTTCTTAATTACCGTCCTTAAATTTATCTACTTCACCTTAATCTCATAGATAATCCCCCCAAAAAGACATAGATTCTACTATTCTCCGACAGAACACATCCCACTGCTTCTGTCTCTCCAAAAACACCTGCACAAAACAACGTAATCTTCAAATTCTTCCAACTTGACTTTGGTTTCAAAGTCAAACTCCCACCTTTCTCTCCCCATTCATGCACTGTTCACATAATCTAGAGAGAGAGACCCAAAATATTTAGAGGCCACCGGAATCAAGTACCCCAAATAGAATCGTCATCATAGTAACAAGTTATCAGACAAGTAATCCTTCAATTCACTGAACCAGCTCAGAAACCCACCCAACATCCGGAGCACCGGTACAGTTCGGACCCGGGTCGACCCGGCCCAACGAATTCTCCTCCCTCAGCTTCTCGAACATCCTGGCTCTCAGCCCCCTTCCAGACTCCACCCTCTCCATTGCAGGCTCCTCCTCGCACAAATCCAAATACCCGATTCCGGAACGGACCGGGACCCGCGTTGGCGTTGAAGGCAGGCTGCAGAATCCGGGTCGCAGCATGGACCCGCGTGGAGATCCGAAACCGGAAGAGCACGGAGACCCGAACCCGGAAGATACTGGAGACCCGAATCCGGAAGATCCTCCCAGCTGAACGTTCCAAGAAGAGGGCAAAGACTTAACCTTTCCGAGCTGCAAGTTCCTCAGGGAAGCCACCATTTCGTTTATCGAGCTCGACCCGAGAGACCGGCTCATTGTCCGGCCATCGGAGACATCGGCGGCGACACATCCGGCGAGTCTTCCGGTGGGGAGGACATGAATGGCATCGTTTTCACACAAGAAGCGGCAGCGGCCTCTATCGCCTGCCTCAGCGGCGACCCGTCATACGACTCAGTCGAGTTGAGCGAGTTGGCTCCTCTGGGGCTCTGCTGAGGCAAAACCCTAAGCTGCTCCGGCGTGTGAGCAAAGAAACAAACCCTCCGCTTGCAGCTGGTGCCGTCCTTGCACGGCTGAGTGCGGTAGCGAGCCGGGTGGAGCCAGCACTCGAAAACCCCGTGCGCGAACTCACACGTGTCGCCCTTCTTGCAATGACCTTTTCGGAAATCGGGGCAGGCCGTACCCGAATAGTGATACTTCCTCGGGTCGCGCCGCCGGGCCTTCTCACCCGGGTGGGCATACGGACACTCGGTCCAGTCATGTGACCTTCCACGTGCGCACCTTCTGACCTTGAAATCGAACATCCTGAAGTGGTCGCAGGAGTAGGCGTCGACCGGCGCGTCGGATTCGCGGCCAGAAATGTCGGAGTCGGAGTCCAGGTCGGTCTCGTTGGACGGCAAGAAGCGCTGGAGCGTCGTTAGTGCTTCGTCGAGATAGTACGGGCTGTTGAAGTCAGCGCCGCTTGCATTGCCGTCGGAGTTAACGGAGACCCCGCTGAGCGGGTACGGGGAGTACATCTCGGCCGTAGGATCGTCCAGCTGAAGCCACGGTGGGACGTGGACCGTTGGATTAGGACGGTGCGGTTCTCCGAGCATCATTTTTTCAGTGGTTTTTTTTGGGGTGTGGATGGCGGTGTTTGGGGGAACATGAGTAAGGTGTGGGTTTATAAACTACCAAAAACCGAGTGGGTTTTTAACCGTGGTTGAGTTAACCAAGCTGTGGGTTAACCGTGGTTGGGTTAAAAATTCTAGGAGCTGCTGCACCAGTTATCACGCGGTTAAAAGAAACGTACGGGGAGTTTCTCGGTCACTGGGCTGTTCGGTTGGGTTCTGACAGGTACACCTTTGTTCTCCACGTGGCCCGCGCAACTGGCTGAGGTTCATTAGCGTTGATTTCGTTGCCACGTGGATGGTGGTGATTTGAAGGTGAGCTGAATGGGATGAACATGCTGTATGATGATCATTGGACGGGACATTTTATGGATCAGATCCTCTCCAGCGCTTTAGAGGTTGAGCCTTTGAGTAAATCACACAGATCGTTAGATCAAAATTCAATGACTATAATTATTATAACTTTAAAAAAAAATTTTTATTTATATAATCAATCAATGAACCGTGTAATTTGCGCATACCTCCTAAGCTCAGGAGATGATCCTGATCCGACACTTTATTACTGCTAGGCCCTTGGAATTCCGATGGCGGTGGAGAGTGTGTGAATCGGAATAAAAGGATTTAAAACAGCACCATAATGATCCGACAAAAAAATAAAACAACAGAAAAATAGAGGGAACAAAATAAATTTAAAATAGAAAACTCCGAATAAATTCACAACAAACAAGAAGCTTCTGGATCCTCTTTTTGTGAAAAACTTTTGGATTTTTTTTAAGAGAAATTTTATTAGCATTTAAAATTTTATTTTACATAGTATTTTTTTATATAAAAAATTTTGAGTGTAGAATGAGATATTTTTAATGCTAATAATAATTCTCTTTTTTAAATATATATTGTGTTTTATAAATGGACTTGTTGCTCATAGAAGCATTCTATATAAGGACAGATTTTTAATGTTCTAAACACAAGATCTGATATATAAGTGTCATAAAATAATTGATTGAAACTTAAAAAAAAAAAAAAAAAAAAATTAACTAGTTTGTACTACGGTATTTGATGTACCGCATTGTACTCCTGAACACCAAAACTAATGATGCAGCACAATCTTTGCTCTCCAACACTCAAAACGTACCATATCAAGAACTCATCTTATAAATTGTTTCCAATTTTTGACTGTATTGGTATAATCAAGATTTAATTATTCCACCAAGTCAACTTTAGTGAAGTTAACATCAATGCGTGAAAAAAATAGTTAGGAGTGATGCTACTCTTAGGTAGTACCCACTACACTAATTTTGGACGTAATGCAGATCCCATTGTTTGCCACCCGAAAGTTTAGATGAAGAGAAAGCTACCCCATTTTAGGGTCAGGGTTATACTATAAATTTCTTTGGTGACTTATAGAGAGGGTTTCAGCTTCTTTTTTTATTTTTTATTTTTTTTACACAAATCCATGCATGACTCGAACCTAGACCTTAGTGTAGAAATAAGAACGATTCGTCTTAACTCAAACAACCCTAGTAGACAATGCAGATCCCATTGTTTGGTTTGTAGCAATCGAGAGGTATAAAATAGACATTTCATACTTTGTAACGTACGAATTTTACTAATTTGTTTAATTTTATTGTCAATTCCAATGGATAAAACTCTATGTACACTGCTTAAATTACTTCTTTCAGAAATTCTTATGCTTCGTTCTTTGACTAGTAAGATTGTGCTGTGCACCACAAATTTTTAGCATACTCGAAAGGTCAATTTAATCACGATCAATGTCCCATCCAATTGTCCTGCAAATGATATTTCCCTTGAACAAGGCCAAATATATTTAATAAAAATAAATTTACGTGTTATAATATGAGTGAAATGATAAGTCACGACTCATGTGATTATGTTCTAAATATTGAAAAATGCTCGATTTTGCTTTTGATCAAATTATTTAAGTCTAATAAAACCCTAAATGTTGTTGTTTTCTCTATTGCGGATGTGATTATCTGAGATTAACCAATTAGAGGCATGTGTTCCCCCATTGGGATCCAACCAGTTCTGGGCCACAATGTTCTTGTTGCAATGGAGCAGCAGATTTGCGTGTGTGGTCGAGTTTGTGGCTATCCTCTTCAGATGAAGCAAAGATCCCCAATGCTTTATGCAATTCGTCTTTTTGCCCTTGTCCATGATAACCAGAGAGGTCGGCAGCTCTTGATGGGGCTCACCTTTTGTGGATATTTTTCCAAAAGTCTATGCTCCTAAAACTGGGTTTATAATCAAGAACATTAGTTGATTAACTTTTTTTTTTTTTTTGGTGAATTTGATTTAACTTTCATGAGTTGATTAATTGATTAATTTTTTATACAATATCTAACTTATGAAAAAAATGGTTTGTCTCGTACAATGGCCGGATTATTTACAATGCTGCATGAAATATAAATTGAACGAGTAAGATTTAAATAAATATATCATACGCTTTTGTTAGCTGTGTTTATATTTACATATAAGTGAGATGCAAGAATGGTAAAGTTTTTAATATTCTTTACAATGTTCTCGGAGAAAAACAATAAACAACTATCTAGAAAAAATAAGGACAAAATAAAAGTTGTACATGTTTTAAACGAATCTTCAACACATTTTGTTGGTGGTTAATTCTTAATTATGCTTTATTGGTTTTTCAATTTTTACTGAAAATATGTAATTAGATCTAAAACATAGCCAAAACTTGATTTTAAATTTAAAAAGGCCTTGTCAGACAGGTATGCGAGGGTTGTCTATTATTAATTAAAATCACAGAATATAATAGTCATACTCCATATACATATTAGGCACTAATATTTGATGTGTCATGTTACGTAATGAGAGAAATTTGCTGATGATACGAATAAAATTGTAATACCACATGCTAGTATATCAGGATAAGGGGTTGACACATAAAATTAGGTATACTAATATCTTTCTCATTCGAATCATTGCGTTTTACCCAGACTCTCCCTTTCATTATGTAAATTACTTCATGATCATAGTCATCTACTTTTTTTGCACGTAACTGAGCTGAGTGAATAGATCACATTTTACTGGCTAAGCAAGTTATAAGTGCGTATTTCATAAAATTTAGTGAAATGCTCTGGCATTTACGATTGCAGCTCGGTTCCTCATGTTTCTGCGCCAATGCTTGCGAAAGCATAAGCACCATTATGTGATTCAAGAAAGAATAAGTTTTATGTTTCTTCGAGTGTAGTGAACGAGGTTCAGGAGGTTGGTGCGAACTGTTGAAGCAATTCCTTTTAGAATCCACTATGTAATTAGTTGTTTGTGCCTTAGTTGTTGTAGAAGTTGGGTCTTTCTATTTCTGTGTGCTGAATTAGTCTACAAAACTGGCTCAGGACTGTGGGTAAGGGTTGTTGATACATAATTCATAGGAAGCAGCACTAGATAAGTACTTTACTAATCCCAGATAAAATTTCTTTACGATTTACGATGAAGGCGTAATTTTGAATTTAGTTAATTATTTGCCGATGATGTTTAAGTGAGAGTTAGAAATTAAGCGATTCAAATTATTTATAACATTGTAGAATGAAAAAAAAAAATTAATAAAATATTTAAATAAAGAAGATTGTAAATATCTGTCTTACAAGCAATCTGTTTAAAACTGGAAAAATAATAAGGAAAATTAATGAAAATGGTTTGAAAACTTTGAGTTTTAACAATAAGAACAAAATAAAAGGTAAAGTAAATAGTAACAGATTTGACTTTTTAGTGTAAAAATATGGTTTTTTTATTAAAGTGAACAGTACTGCGAACTTTTCGTTAAAACTCTCAAAATAAAATCCTTGGGTTCTCTCAACGTCAAACTTTCAATGGATTTTGTAATACCTTATAATTTAACGTTCATTTTCGTGTCAAAATTATAAAATATTATTTTAAAAACATGAAGACCCATAAAGTATATAAATTGTTTTGAACATTTCTCAACCTTAAATAGAGGCCATCAAACATACTTGAAATCGTCACCTTATTCTCTTGGATCTGAACCCCATAACAAAACAAAACAAAACCAATTCAAATTAGATAATATGAAATGATTGGAGATGCGTACAATCTGGGGGTAGACGTGGAGGCAACTGAAGGGGATAAGAATGAGGCAGGCATGTGCAATTAAAGGTGCAGCGGTGGAGTAAGGTAAAGGGCAAGTGTGTATATATGTAGAGCAAACTTTAGCCATGCAAAAATATTATAACCCTAGCTAACCTGCTGCTACCGCTGCATGCTCACCGTAATAATACAGGTCATGGGACTCTGGATGCTAGTGCTGTGAGCCTTAGCGACCAACACTTGGCCCTTCTGTTGCGGCACGTAAGGGTTCATCTGTCCACCACAACACAAGCAGAATCAATACTCTCTGATGCAAGCCAGTAGTCTGGACAGGATTGTTTAGTCCTGTTTGATGGTTCTATCAATCTAGGGTTTCCAGCGCATTCTAAAGCAGTACCATCTTTTTGTCCAACATGTGCTCGCATGACTGATCACCGTGCCAAATTATTTAGGTTCTTTTGGGACTTTCTTTAGGGACGACGTTACCCTTTGTTGTTAGAACTCGAGATTTCAAGTACAAGAGTAAATAATCTTCACACACTGAATGATTAACTTCTTCGAATCGTTTGGTTCTTTTGAAACTTGTTAGGGACGGTGCCCTTTGATTTTAAAACTTGAGATTTCGATTACTTATATGTAACCAACTGAATTATAAACTCCTCGTTTTACTAACCGCTTTCCTTTCTCTAGCCTTCTTTTCTTGAGGGCTAAGTATTTGGTAGTCTGATTCTCCCAATTGGGAACTGTGACCTGTCAACAAACATTTGAAATTTAATTAAATACTTAAGGACACGTTTAGAAATATTGTAAAATTATTTGAAGCGTATGCTTCAAATGCTTTTTAAAAAAAGCACATAACTGTGATTTTATTTTGTAAAATGTAACCAATTATGACGGAGTTGTGCATTAAAAGTTGTTTAATGCACGTATAGATGACAAATAATATCAAAATTTGAAGTCAA